AACTGATGACAAAGGCTATCTGCTGATGACATAACACAGGACTCTGATGTGCAATTAATGAACACATGCAGCACTTAAACAATGAAATGCATGCTGTTACACAAAATGTAGCACAATAGAGCACTGGCATGCTCAAACAGCATGTCTGATTTTTGGAAGAGCCTGCAGTTCTCAGCGGAGTGTCAAGATTAATGGTGGTCTGCTTCATGCTTGCAGCCAGCCAGAAGGCAAGCACCCGAGGAGAACAGCATGAGGAGGAGAGGAAGCAAAGGAAGATGAAAGGAGAAGGCATCTTGGACAATCTTTTCTAACTAGGTTGTCTATGGAACCAATAACTACACCTCTGATTCTTCAAATACCGACAGTTCACTCTGTTACTGATAATATAATGGCTTACTTGCAATCAATACAATAATAAATACCACTGTAAAATAAACATACCAAACAAAAGAATGAAATCATGCTTTTTTTTGTATTTATTCATTAATGGGACATGGGCATTGCTGGCTAGGCAGCATTTATTGCCCATCCCTAATTGCCAAGAGGGCAGTTCAGATCTGGAGTCACATGTAGGCCAGACCAGATGAGAATGGCAGTTTCATTCCCTAAGGGACATTAGTGAACTAGATGGGGTTTTCCCCAACAATTGATTCACAGTCATCATTAGATTCTTAATTCCAGATATTTTTTATTGAATTCAAATTCCACCATCTGCCATGGTGGGATTTGAACCCAAGTCCCCAGGATATTATCTGGGTCTCTGGATTAACAGTCCAGTGATAATACCACTAGGCCATTGCCTCCCCATATTGCACACAAAGACAAACTAATCAACTTTGTGTAGTTCTATAGTCCCTGTCTTCTGTATACCTTTGCCTGGCTTACTGCTCTGTTGCAGATCTACCTTAGTGGGTGCAGCATGGCTGGTAAAACTTAGCAACTTTTGGTAATGGAGGCTGCAATTAGCCTTTGAAAATGATTTTAGTGACAAGGACGCTGATGGAATGGGAGGGTGGAAGGCTGAATGCTGTCTTCCTGAGAGAGGGCAGCTGGCTCATGATCCATGATGTCACTATCACCATCCTAGATTATCTGTTGAGGACAGATGCTGTAATAACCTGCGAGCCATGTTAAAACTGTAATCCACAACTATGATGGCAGAAAGCTGAGCTTGCAAGATAGCAATCTGAGATTACAATGCAACACCCAGGCATTGGATGAATACTGCAGGTCAGAGACTAGACTAGCCTCGCCTGTCCACCATCTACAAGACACAAGTCAGGAGTGCGATGGAATACTCCCCACTTGCCTAGATGAGTGCAGCTCCAACAATACTCAAGAAGCTTGACACCATCCAAGCCAAAGCAGCCCACTTGATTGGCACCACACTCTCAAGCATCCATTCTCTCCACCACTGATGCTCAGTAGCAGTACTGAGTACTATGTACAAGATGCACTGCAGATATTCACCAAAGATCCTCAGACAGCACTTTACAAACCCACGACCACTTCCATTCAGAAGGACAAGGGCAGCAGATACATGGGAACACCACCATTTGCAAGTTTTCCTCCTAACCACTCACTATCCTGACTTGATGTTCCTTCAGTGTCACTAGGTCAAAATCTCGGAATTCCCTTCCTAAGGATATTGTGGGTCTACCTACAGCACATGAACTGTAGCAGTTCAAAATGGTAGCTCACCACCACCTTCTCAAGGGCAACTAAGGGTGATCAATAAATGCTGGCCTGCTAGCAATATCCACATACCGGGTGTGAATAAGAAAAAACTCTTCTGCATTCTCTTACCTTGCACCAAATCCACTTCACTCATCTACAGCATGCTAACTGATCTGGTTTACAGCATTCCTATTCTTTTGTTTTATCCTTCTGCGCAGATCACCAAGTTCTGTGCCTGGCAGTGACTTCTGGAACCGAAAGTCAATGTTGCAAATAGTGCCAGCAGACTGATTCTCATTGTTGGACCCTCAGCAACTGTGCAACTTAGAGGGAACATTGCTGGTTAAGCAAAACTTCACACAGCCCCACTACCCTTCTAATTATCTGCATTCTTCTATTTGAAGGCTCATTTTCATTTCCTACATCCTAAACTCTGGTTTTTCTTTTCCTAAATCTTTATTTCGGTCTATCTCACTTTCCTCCTTTATGACACTACCGAAAAGTTTCCCCTTTTGATCATCTGTTTTAATACCTCCCTTATGAAGCTTGGTGTTTTATTCTTCTTTATAATGACCTCCTGACTTGTCTTGGAATGCTTTATTATGCTTGAGGTATTATATAAATACAAGTTGTTGTTAGTCCTGGTAGACTTTGGACTGCACCTTGTACTTTGTGGCACACACTCACCAGCAGTCATCTGGTGGCTGCTCTGTCAAAATCCTTCTTTGAGATCCCTGCTTCAGAAGTCTGTTGTAGTCCATCTGGCGTATGGACATCTGTATTGCTGTTAGGCAGTTCCAGGACTTTGACTCATTAACACTGACAGAGCAGTGATACACTTCCAGGTCAGGACAGTGCACGGCTTAGAGGGAAAAATGCTGCGGTAGCGTTCTAATGCATCAGCTGCCCTTGTCCTTCTAGAGGGTGGAGATGTAGGATGTGGACAAGGCTGATAAAAGTTTGGTCAGACAAGTAGTTTCCAAGGTTCTTGAAGAACTAGAGACAGGTGATAAACAAGCAGGAGATCGTTAAAATCAGGTTACAACTATGCTTTCAATCTTGCTTTTCCTAATCGTAAACTGCACTTTTGAACAGGCAAGAATGGCATTCACAAGAACGGAATTGGGTAGTACTTTCACTATGTATATTGAATCTGATGATTTCATCAGTATCTGATTTGTATCATTTATTAGAGCTGAGTGGCTAGCAAAGGTGCACCATCCTAAGATTGGTGGAGTAGCAGATAGTGAAGGGGACTGTCGGAGAATGCAGCAGAATATTGATAGATTGGAGAGTTGGGTGGAGAAATGGCAGATGGAGTTCAATCCAGGCAAATGCGAGGTGATGCATTTTGGAAGATCCTATTCAAGAGTGAACTATATGGTAAAGGGAAAAGCCCTGGGGAAAATTGATGCACAGAGAGATCTGGGTGTTCAGGTCCATTGTACCCTGAAGGTCGCTACGCAGGTCGATAGAGTGGTCAAGAAGGCATACGGCATGCTTTCATTCATCGGACGGGGTACTGAGTACAAGAGTTGGCAGGTCATGTTACAGTTGTATAGGACTTTTGGTTCGACCACATTTGGAATACTGCGTACAGTTCTGGTCACCACGTTACCAAAAGGATGTGGATGTTTTGGAGAGGGTGCAGAGGAGGTTCACCAGGATGTTGCCTGGTATGGAGGATGCTAGCTATGAAGAGAGGTTGAGTAGATTAGGATTATTTACATTAGAAAGACGGAGGTTGAGGGGGGACCTGATTGAGGTCTACAAAATCATGAGAGGTACAGACAGGGTGGATAGCAAGAAGCTTCTTCCCAGAGTGGGGGACTCAGTTACTAGGGGTCATGATTTCAAGGTGAGAGGGGAAAAGTTTAAGGGAGATATGCGTGGAAAGTTCTTTACGCAGAGGGTGGTGGGTGCCTGGAACACGTTGCCAGCGGGGGTGGTAGAGGCAGGCACGATAGCATCACTTAAGATGTATCTAGACAGATACAGGAATGGGCAAGAAGCAGAGGGGCACAGATCCTTGGAAAATAGGTGACAGGTTTAGATCGAGGATCTGGATTGGCACAGGCTTGGAGGGCCGAAGGGCCTGTTCCTGTGTTGTAATATTCTTTGTTCTTTGTATCCTGTCTGCCCACTCCCACTGCCAGGAGCCAGTGTGATCAAGGAGAATCCTTACATAAGTTAAAGATTTTGTTTTAGATTTTCTTATGGTCCAGAAGTGTTTCTCTGGGCACTAGAAACATTCTGGCTCTGTAGTTCTAGACTACTCTCCTTCTTACCCTCTTCTTGATATTTAACACAAGCTTCTCACCTATTACTGACTTTTGACAAAGGCTTCCTCAGCTCTCTCTCCTGTTTCCATCTTCTTTGATTTATGACAGAGGCTTCCTTCCACATGACAGCCTCCTGTTTGCAGATATCCACTGCCTCCAAATCCCTGGGTGGTCTATTTGACTGTGCATTGGTCAAGACATTGATGATACGTATTCAGTTTAGGATCAACTGTTCAGTTTGGCAAAGCTCATGGACGGCAATCTTCATGGCTTTTTTGTGCTGTTGTGGGCTCCCTCGGATCCTTCCTATCATTTTCCCTATACCCCAGAAAAGTTGAATCACATCTTCGATTATGTCACATGGGACAGCAAGAAGGGGAAGAGGCCATGATAGATAACTACCTTTTCTCAAAACCATTATTGACTCTACCTCCATCACACTCTCAGGCAGTGCATTCCAGATCTTAACTACTCACTGCAAAAAGTGTGTTTTCCTCATTTCACTTCTGTTTCTTTTCCATTCACTTGAATCTGTGTCCTCTGGTTTATTGTTTCACCAATAGGAACAATATCTCCCTATCTATTCTGTCCAGATTCCTTACGATTTTCAACGTTTCTATCAAATCTCCTCTCAAACTTACCTTTTGCAAGGGATATAACCTCAGCTTCTCTAATCCATCTATGCAGCTGAAGTTCCTCATCCTTAGAGCCATTCTCATGAATCTTTTCTGCACCCTTTCTAAAGCCTTCACATTCTTTCCTCAAGTGTGGTGTCCTGAACTGGACGAAATACTCGACTTGAGGATGAACCTGTAGTTTTTATATTAGGAGTGGGGGACCAAAAGGGATAGCTTACTCACTGAGCCATCAGTGGGGATTTTTTTTTGTCCTACTCCCTCACCATTTGATCTATGTTCCTCTCCTCTCTCACGCCCCTTACTTTCTCCCCAGTCTCCTCCTTTCACACCAACAAACTTACTTTTGCCCTGCCCTTTAATTGGCCTGCTGTCAGCCAATGAGTGACTCCGTAACGCGCATGCTCCAGGTTCCTTTTCTCACTCCCACCCACCAACACACTCCCGTCCCCCTCCTTCCCGGTTGCTCGGCGCGTGGACTGTCAGAAAGATCACTTTAACTGCTGTTCCTGATCCCTTTCCTTACAACGTTTATCCCGTCTGCAGGAATCGCGATTTAATCAGGTGAACACTACACTGTGCTGCTTTCATGCTTTGTCCACGTCGTTACATGACAGCCTCACCCAGAAAGCGCTCGTCTTTATTAAAATTCTGTTCGGGCCTTCCCTTCTGGTCTTGTTGACTCAGGCCTGCGCTCCCACGCGCTTTCAGAAAGCTTCTGATATATAAAAAAATAAGGATCAATGTAGATTTTACAGAGTAGCAGTGTGAAGGCTGAACGAGTAGAGGCGTTCTCTTAAAAAGGGCATGACTGAGCTTTCCCCAGTTGTCAGTTTTGAGCTGGTTATAAATAGCATAAGATCTTCTTTTTGGAGGCTGCTCAGTTTGTACAAATTGATTGAAGTTCACATGTTTCTTATTTTATCAGAGCTTTTCCATAATTGTTAATGACATTCTCCAAGTATTTGTAGGACCTGATCTTTTAAAAATATAGTAGTTATTCATTTGTCAGTTTGTGTTTCAGAACATGCCTCCCAAAAAAGGAGATTGTGAACCCAAGTTACCACCCATTATAGGACGATTTGGAACCTCTTTGAAGATTGGCATTGTTGGCTTGCCAAATGTAGGGTAAGTTAATTAATGTTACACATCAATTATGTGTTACATTAATGTATGAAAAACATAGAGACCTATTTTATGTTTATATTGTGCAGTAATACTTTTTGATCAGTACCAGTCCAGTGTGATTAGGGCTGGTAATATCTGAATTACTTTGCTGGCTCTGCATTGCTCTGTCTAAGCAAAGAGCAACTGTCTTTGCATTGTCTTGCACAATGATGGTTAACCTTTTAATGAGAGAAGATGTGGAATAGTTGTGTGTTTTAAGATTAAAAATTAAGTTTAAAGGTAACTAGATGAATGTTGGATAAAAAATATTCTTGTTCCTTACATCAAACCTGAATAACATTTGTCATATGAATTGCAATTTTGGGCTCCCAAACTTGTTGCTTATCTAAAATGATTTTTATGGTAATCTGCAATACAATAGATTAATAATATGGTTAAGACTCAATTTATAATTAAAGTAAAAATGCAGAGTTTTTAATGTTGTATAATGTTGCAACATTATTCTAGTTTACGTGTACACATCTTTTGCATTTTGTTAATGCACATTATTCACTGGAATTGAAAGCAGACTAGGGAAATTTGGAGGATCTCTCTTCTACTTCACAATCATTTATGTTAGTAGTGCAAATGTAGCATAGTAAACAAAACTTATAAGTGTTGGCAATGTTGTGTCTATTGCCCATTTATTGCCGTTATAATCCTGTGACTACAAGTAAGAGTGTGCTGTAACTTAGAGAAATATGATTTAAAAAAAATTAAATGGTGGTACCGGTTTGAGAGGCTCAGTGGCCTGTTGATGTAGAACAATTTTTGAGATAAATAGATAAGAAGTTGCGTGTGTGAGATGTCGTGGGAGGAGTAGGTGAGAATGTTCGAAGAACTTTGAGTGTATTAGAATGGAGGAAGAACCTGTAATAGAAGTAGTGATGGGAGTGGGAATGAATGATCAGAAGAGGAATGGATAATGGGAAGTTGGGGTTGAGGGTTGGCTGAGGAAAATGGGAGTGAATGGTCAGGAAAGGAGGTGGGTAATGGGAGATGAAGTGGTAAGGAGGGTGGGAGTGAATGGGAAGGGAACTCTTGAATGCCACAATTTTCCTTACTACCCACCTGATATCCTCCTTTAAATGCAGTCTACGAGAAAGAAGTAAAAGGTGGGCATATAAGATGATTAAGGAAAGGGGAAAGAAAAATTAAAAATTAAAAGCTTAGACAGCTAGAAGAGAGGCTATTTCTACCCATTTGCGCCAATAATATGTTTGAGTAGAATTATTATTCTGTCCCTTCATACATCAAGAATGGCCACATTGGTGAGGCATCAGAAGTTGTCGTACTGTTTGGAATCCAGCAGCGGTGTGAATCAGTCCATTCAAATGGAAAGTAGATGTAATAATTTTGGCTGGAACCAAATGTAACAATTGATGTTATAGAAAACTTCTTTTTTCATAGAGGATACCGATAATTAATCTTTTGTTTACCAGTGTGGCATGTACTTCAGTGGTTAGCACTGCTGCCTCACAGTGCCAAGGACCCGGGTTCGATTCCGCCCTTGGGTGACTGTGGGGCGTTTGCACATTCTCCCCTGTCTGCTTGGGTTTCTGCCGGGTACTCCGGTTTCCTTCTACAGACCAAAGATGTGCAGGCTAGGTGCATTGGCCATTCTAAGTTTCCCAGAGTGTTCAGGGAAGTGTAGGTTAGGTCTGTTAGCCATGGGCAATGCAGGGTTACAGGGAAAGGGTAGGGGGATGGGTCTGGGTGGGATGCTGTTCGGAGGGTTGATGTGGACTTGTTGGGCCGAATAGCCTGTTTCCACGCTGTAGGGATTCTATGATCTGTGATGATGAGTTAAAACTTGCTAATTTTGCCTAGGCACATGCTCAATACTTCTTTGGAGGAGATTATTTTCCTTAAAATTATTTCTAATACAGCATATCTTACTTTTTAAAAATATTTTAAATTTTTACAATTTATTCTAATGCCCAAGGAATCTGATCGTTTGCATTTCTGCTTTCTCCTCAGTCTGTTTAGTTGGGCAAATTATGAAGTAATTCCTTTTAATTAATGGGGGACTTTACTTTCGACTGTTCAGGGTTATGATCTGGTTGAGTTGCTGCAGTGCACCTTGTAGGTGATGGTTCGACTGCCTGTCTGGAGTTTGCACAATCTTCTGATGTCTGCATGTGTTTCCTCTGGGTGCTCCGGTTTCCTCCCACGGTCAAAGATGCAGTGGTTAGGTGGTTTGGCCAGGTCACATTGCCCATAGTGTTCAGGGATGTGCAGGCTAGGTGGATGAGCCATGAGAAATGCAGGGTTGCAGGAATATGGTTGTAGGGTGAGTCTGGGTGCGATGCTGTTTGGAGGATCAGTATAGACTCCTTGGACCGAATGGCCTGCTTCCATACTGTAGGGATTCTGTGATTCAGGCAAGTGGAGAGTATTTTATCATATTTCTAACTTCTGTCTGGTAGATGGTGGACAAACATTGGGGTGACAGGTGGTGAGGTACCCATATCAATCCTAGCTTCTTATCTGCTTTTCTGGCCACAATATTAAATGGCTGGTCCAGATTGGTTTCTGTTCAATGGTAATTGACCCTAGAATGTTGATAGGGGAATCAGCAATGATCATTCGCCATTATCTCCGAGACTGACCACGGCAGGAAGACCCAACGTGACCAGAATCCCTTATCACCCTACCATACATCAAGGACATTTCAGAGATGACTGCAAGACTACTCAGACCCCTAGATTTCAGAGTAGCCCACAAATTGACAACCACCCGACGACAGCTACTGATGAACGTAAAGGATCCCATACCCAAAACTGGGGTCATATACAAAATACCGTGCAAGGGTTGTGAGAAACACCACTACATAGGCCAAACTGGAAGAAAATTGGCTATGCGGATACATGGACACCAACTAGTCATCAAGAGACATGACCAATTCTCACTTGTCTCAGTACACACAGACAACGAAGGACACAAATTCGACTGGGACAACACAGCAATGATCACTCAAGCCAAACAGAGACACGCCAGGGAATTCCTGGACGCCTGGTATTCCAACTGCAACTCCATCAACAAATACATTGAATTAGACCCTGTGTACAAACCACTGAGAAACAAAACTGGAAGTAATACCAACCACCCCAGCAAACCGAGGCATGCAAATAGCAAGCGGGACAGAACACCGACGCTTCACCGGAGGTGCACTGATGATGTTACCTAGCAGGGTGATGAAACGTTTGCAGCCAAACCCACCAGCTCGGCGAGTATGTCTACAACCTCATACCATTGATGATTAGTATCTCTTTTTTTTAAGAGATGGTCATCGATTGACACTTGTGTGGTGTGACTTGTTACTCGCCACTCGGAGTCCCTACGGTGTGGAAGCAGGCCATTCAGCCCATCGAGTCCACACTGACCCTCTGAACAGCATCCCACCCAGACTCACCCACCTATCCATCTGCCCTACACATCCCTGGACACAATGGGCAATTTAACACGGCCAATCCACCTAATATGCACATCTTTGGACTGTGGGAGAAAACAAGAGCGCCCTCTTCAGACCAAACCTGGATGTGTCGTGGTATTGCTCTATGTGGACATAGATGCTTCAGTATTTGAAGAGTCTTGATGATTTTGACCATTGTTCAATCATCAGTGAGCATGCACACTACTGACCTTATTATGGGTGGAATATCACAGAAGCAGCTAAAGATGGTTTGTCCTAGAACACCATCCAAAGGAACTCCTAAATGACAAGGGAAGGGAAGGCCAGTCTAGTTGTTGTGGTACTGGACTAACAGCCCAAAAGATGAGAATTTAGATCCATCTTAATAAGTTGTGAACTTGACTTCAGTAAACTGGCCAGCTGCACAAAATGATCCTGGAAATGCTTTCGCTAATAATCTCCCTTAAAAATAACCTTATCTGGTCTGGCTTCATAACTTTTTTTTTAAAAAACAGGAACAGGAGTTCCTGAGATAGTAGGAACTGCAGATGCTGGAGAATCCGAGACAACAAGGTGCAGGGCTGGATGAACACAGCAGGCCAAGCAGCATCATAGGAGCAGAGAGGCTGACGTTTCGGGCCTAGACCTTTCTGATG